GTGGAGGGTCATGCTAATGTGCACATCAGACATTTGTTTGTGTTTTATTATATATGTCCCTTAAATAGGGTTGGCTGATGCTTCTAGAAAGCTATATGCATCTGTTAAAGCAATGCTAGGGTCACGACCCACAGAGTTACTATTATGGACCTTTAATCAATAGGGAAAAAATAGAAAAAGGAATGTTTTCCCAAATACAAGAGGATTATAGGGGTTCTTACTTTTGTTTCCTGTTATTTAAAGGTTCCACGATGGTCATTCGATGACACTAGCAATGGACTAGTTAAAACTTGCAATTTGATGTATTACTGAATAAAACTCGGGAATCATGCATATACAAATGAGTGTGGACCCTGGCACAACGGTTGGGTTGCTCCATTGCAACCTGGGTGACCAGGGTTCAAATCGTGGAAACAGCTGTATGTGCAAGGGTAAGGCTGCGTATATCTGTCCCTCTCCAGACCCCACATTGGTAGGAGCCTTGTTTATTGGGCTGCTATACTTGAACTGGTAATCACTAATCACCTTCCAACAATTAGATGTCAGCTTTCATATTACTTTCCATCTAAGATTTAAAACTACTCATAACAGAATCATCAACTCTAATAGACCCATTAAATCATAAAAAAAATCCATCTGATGCATACAATCCTCTAATTATCACATTAACCCACAACCTTTTAAAACCATATTTTTTCTAGATTTGTATTGTATTTAAGGGTTTCTCAAATTTTCCATTTCATACAGTCAGTTTTTCATCCTAATTTCCTGTTTAACTAAATAATAATCAAAACAACCCCTATAAATCTTAGGGTCCGTTTGGTTCGCAGTTGGAATCGGAATCGGAATCGAAATCCTCTGGAATCGGAATTGGAATGGCCATTCTCATAGTTTGTTTGGTTCACACAGGAATGGGAATGAAAATTAAAATCAGCAGGAATGGGATTTCATTCCCAAGGGAGGGGCAGGGAATGGTCATTCCCTCAAATGGGGAAATGCCATTCCAGCAGGAATGGGAATGGGATTCCGGTTCCATCCAACCAAACAGTTGGGATTGGAATAGCCCATTCCGATTCTGATTCCAGACCCCTATTCCCGCAAACCAAACGGAGCCTTAGTCTTTAACTCAAAAAACATCCCAAATGCTATGGGGGTGTTTGACAATGTGTCTGATTTCATTTTTCAAGACAATAATGACTGCCATAGTGACAAATTCAATATGTTTTTGATAACGTGGGACTTGTTTTTTGTTTTGAAAAATAAATTGTACACATCGGAGAACATCCCCATGTAAAACCTGATGTAGCTTAGCCATATTTCCAGACCCTAGTTTGAATCAAATCCCTAGCTTCATTTTCCCTAGCCTATCCTATACTGACTAAGTTCCATGGAGAACTTCAAGATAAAACTTCTTATCAGAATATATATATATATATATATATATATGTATATGTATATGTATATATATTATATATTATATATTCTAAAATGTAAAACATATTGGGTAGGAAAAGGGCCCGGTGATACTGGAAGCTTTCTTTGAAAAGGTCTTATTTGTTGATTTAAAACTTGCCATATGCTACCAGACTGCCATCTCCAAGAGCCACCCCGTGCAGTATTAATTATCCTCCTAATTCTACATCTTCTATTAAGGCCCTGTATTCACATGGTTATAAGTTGATCAGAGGACTTTTATGATATTTAATCATACAACTTCATGACTGTTCTCAGAAAATGCTGTTAGCAGAGTAATTAATGATCCAAGTGTGTTAGAGAATAAAAACATATTCAGGAACCTCACCTAACATCTTAAGCTTTTAGGTTGAATGGTTCCTTAAGATGGTATCAGAGCCTGTTTGACCAAATGGTCTAGTATTCGATCCTCATCACCCCATTATAATTATTTAATCTCAGTACAAGGTATAGGTGGGCCTAAGCTTGTCCACGATTCTAAGCCCAAAAGGTTTTTGCACGAGGGGGCATTTAGAGAATAAAAGCATATTCAGGAACCTCACCTAACAGCTTAAGCTTTTAGGTTGAATGGTTCCTTAAGACAAGGGATCCTTCACACACATCATCAGAATACTAGGTTGCATCTGTTGGAAGGGCTTAGTCCTAGGAATTAGACTCCTACATAAAATATAGTAAATATAACAATACAATTAACAATAATGCTCAGAGTTTATATATGCATGTACTTCATATCTCTGGTGGATTTTTATACTGATGTCTAACATGTAGTAGTAAAGAAGAAACATTTTTAGTGGAACCTACCTGCCAAAGTAAAATTCTTTGCATGGCAATACTTGTTGGAACACCCTCAGGCCACATTGGGATAACTATATAGGCAGCAAACCTCTCATTTGCCTTGATCTTGTTAGCAATTTTTAAAGCAATTTCCATTGGTATTAAATTGTTAGCACCTGCATATAAAAGGTATAGTTCTAATTCAAGTAAATAAGGCTCAACAATCAAATTATTAGTATTTAGTTATAAATAACAAATTCTTGTCATATTCAAGAGCACTGCACAAGAAGATAATAGTGAGAGAAATCAATACTCACAAAACGTGTCATTGAATGCAACAAAGGTCATGCTAAAAGTCTAAAACAATAATACTTCTTAGAATAATTCTCAGAAACAAAGTTTGTATATCAACATCAAATATAAAAATTAGTCTCTTCACCAGCAAAGGACTTGGGTGGTAGTAATAAGAAATGATTAAGTGCCCATAAATTAACAATGGATATATCACTGAACATAATGAAATGGCGAAACAGGATTCGTGTAGCTGACCTAATATAATTGGAACAAGGTTTAGATGATGATGATAACCAACAAAATCAAACTTTCAACCTAAAGTCCATATCATGAAAATGAAATACAGAAGCCCTAACATGGTTCTCTTCTACAGGAATGCTATTAGAGCTGTTATTGAGCTGTTAGTGGGCCTGTTTATGTGTTTATTTGTGTTAAGGGTTCAAAGTTTCAATACGCCTCTGCGTATTGGTACTTTGAACCACGCGGAAATATGATTTTGTTTTTATTTTTTTTCAAAATTTGGTTTTTGGGGAGTTTAATACCTATATTTTTCATTAGAAAATAGTGGGGTCCCGAAACACCTGTAAACAGGTGTATCGGGACCCAAAAGATACGATACGATATGCCCGATATGGGGCGTATCGGGTGGATCTTTCTTCCTCTTTTTCTCTCTCAGCTTTCTCTGGAAAGGTTTGTAACACTTCAGATCTGAGAAGGTTTGACAGAAGATTGGTGCTCGAGTGGATCTTTCTTCCTCTTTTTCTCTCTCAGCTTTCTCTGGAGAGGTTTGTAACACTTCAGATCTGAGAAGGAACTGATCGGGTAAGGGTCATTGTTTGGGTGTCTCCCTTGTATCCTGTGATGGAGGTTTCAGTGTGAGGAGAGGTGTCTCTCTGTGTTCTCCATGATTGTGTGGTCTGAGGTCCAATTGGCTGAGTGGTAAGCCTAGTTTCTTGGATCTCTCATATCAGGTCTGCGTTTTCTTCAGATGTACTGTGTGTGTGTGTGTTTTGTGCCGGATGTTCTTTTCTTTACTTGGAACTTCAAGGCTGTAGAAGTGTTTAACCTTTTTGGCTGAAAGTTTTTTTTCCTCTTGTTTCTGACTTGTTGGTGTTTAAAAGTGTTCTATTGTGCTACCTACTTCTTGTGAAAGGAGTTTGGAGCATTTTTTGCTGATTACAATGGACTATAAACTGGAAAACAGACCTGATTTCTTTGGTTGTTAGTGCTGTTCCTTTCTTCCTGGTACAAGTTGCTTGTGGGTTATTACTGTGTGTAAACAATGTCAACTAATGATTCAGAAATATCCGAAGTCACTGGAGGTCAGAATATGGTCAGTCCAGGGGCTGAAAACTGAGGTTTCCCTGTTGCTATTACAATTCTTGATGGACTGAATTATTTGGAGTGGTCCAAAAGTTTTAAACTGTATGTTGGGCCTAGAGGAAAGCTTGGATACTTGTCTGGTGATATCCCTCAACCCAAAGAGGCTGGTGCAACTCATGATAAGTGGGTTCAAGAAAATTATTTGATCATGTCTTGGCTTATAACTTCCATTCACCCTAGTCTGAGAAAGAATTTTATGTGGGCTGAAACCGCAAAGGAGATATGGGACTAGGCTAAGGCTACTTTTTCTGAGAAAAAGGCACTATGCTTGTATTTATCAACTATAGGTTGAGTCCTCCAATTGTAAACAAGGAGAGAAAAGTTTGTCAAGTTACTATTCATCTCTTACCTCCATGTGAAGGGAACTTGATCATTACCAAAGTGTTGACTGGAAGAATGAATCAGATGCAAGAGAGTACAAAAGGCTTGTAAATAAGTAGAGAGTTTTTGCCTTCTTAACAGGTCTTAACCCTAGTTATGACTTATGAGCCTATTCGAGTTTAGGTTTTAGGGAGCAAGGAACTCCCATCACTTCAAGAAGTGTACTTATTGGTTCAATCTGAGGAGATGAGGATAGCCATGAATCTTCCAGAGGGGGAGCAACAAGTTGCTATCTTTTCCAAAAGAGGTGGTGCAAATAAAAAATGAAGAAGACTAAGGAAGTTGATAAAGACAAGTTAAGATGTACTCACTGTGGTAGACACAGAAACACTAAAGAAACATGTTAGGATCTTGTTGGGAAGTAGAAGAATTTTCATTCCTTCCAAAAGAAGCAGCCACAATATTCTGGGATGAGTTCGAGCTTGGCTAATGTTGTTTCTAGTGGTTCACCTCAAGAGGGTGTTTCTATAGGTTATAACCCTAAGTGGTTGCTCAGTTTTTGATATTGTTCATACTGATGTTTGGGGAGCATACCCATTGTTAATGTCGACTATGTAGGGGTATTTTTGTCATTATGCTTATGTTTAAGTTGCTGATATGTTAGATCTTATGTCCCTCACTTAAGTAGGGGCAAATGTGTCTTTTCCAGAGTATTAGTAATATAAAAACAAATCAGGCCGAATGGGAGAGATGACTTTTTTTCTCTTGTTCGAACCAGATCTTTCTCTCCCTTTCTTCTCTTCTCTTCTTCTTCTTCTTCTTCTTCTTCTTCTTCTTCTTCTCTCTTTCTTTTACTTTGACTGTTATCAGTCTAACAGGATTCAAGGGCAGGCCAAATCATAATATGGTATCAGAGCTAAACTGAGCAAATCGGATCTGCCCAGAATTCTGTAATTTGCGCACCTAGTCTAGGGTTTTCTCTTGCGTTCTTCGCCATCAGTTGGAGATAAGGGAAAGGGCTGAAAAGGAGTGATCGCCCTCTTCCCTTGGAGGTTTCTATGCCTCCAGTTGTGCTGTTCGTGGTTGGTTTCTGTGGTTTGTAAGAAACCCACCCCTAATCGATGAAGAGAAGAGGGCTGATTCGTGTGGTGCAGTGGGTGCCTTGTGCGGTCTGATTCTCAGGTGATTAGGTAAGAGGTTTCTATGCAATTTCTTGTTGTGAATCGAACGATAAGTCTGTTCCAGACTGTATGGTGGGATTTCAGATTGTAGTGTGCTAGGGTTTGTGCATTTTTAAGTATGATTCGAAGGGGGAGTGGTCCTCAAACAGTGTGGTGAAGTTTCAGGTAGTCGTGAGGAAGGGTTTGTGGTGTAAAGAGTGCAATTTACAGCAATAGTAAGTGCTGAAACCAGTGTGTTCAGTGTGCAGTGTGGTCTAGTGTGCAGTGTGCCGAATTCAGCAATGGGAGATGTGAATAAACCCTAGTTGTTTCAAGGTCAAAGTAGAGAAGAAGAAAKAAGAAAGAAAAGAGAAAGAAGAAGAAGGAGAGGAGAAGAGTGTTCGGCCAGACTAGAAGAGAGGATGTACAAAAGTACCTCTCCTAGCCAACCCACTTGACTTTTATTCATGAAAAACTTGAGTTACAAGAAAGACRATTTTGTCCCTCATAGAAGATGGGACACATAACTTAAACTCRRATACAATAGACATTTCACTTTCAATAAGATACACCAGAATGACCAAAATACCCCTGACTCGAGCATTCTAACAGGAGACAACAATGATAGCAAGACTAGTGTGATGGTCCCTACTGACTACCTGAATGTTCAGATGACCTCCATTAAACTGAGTGGAGAAAATTATGTACCTTGGGCTAAATCTGTAGAAATCTTTCTTAAGGCAAAGAAGAAGGTGAAACACATAAGGGAAGAAAAACCATCCACCGATTCTCATGAGTATGATGATTGGGAACAAGAAGATGCACTGATTATCACAAGGTTAAGGAACAATATGGAACCCAAGATTAGTGTAAATTTCATGTTTTTTGATACTGGTAAGGAAGTGTGGGACCATGCTAAGAAGTTGTATTCAGGTTAAGACAATACAACTAGGGTATATCAACTGTTTCAGGAATACTTTAATCTACAACAGGGTAATCAGAGTCTTGAGGAGTACTATGCTAGTATGAAAAACATTTGTAATGAGTTGAATGTTTATCACCCCCTCACTTCTGATGTCAAAATTCAGCAATAGCAGAGAGAACAACTAGATGTGAGTCGATTTTTGGTGGGGCTGAAGTCTGAATATGAACCAGTGCAGGCTTAGATAGTAGGAGGATCAGCTCTCCCTTCCTTAGAAGAGGTGTTTGCTCGACTTACGAGGATTTCTATTGGATCTACCGAGAACCCTAGTGTTTCTGACAGATTAGCTTTTGTAGTATCAAGGGGCTGTGTTGTTAGAGGTGGAGCTCGGGGAGCTCAGTTTGGCCGTAGTGGTAGCAATGGACCGGTATATGGCCGGAGTGGTGGTGATGGACCTGCATATAACCGTGGTGGTGGTCGTACTGAAGGTCGAGATTCAGGGGGAGCCTATGGTAGAGGACGTAGTTCGGATCCGAGGAGGTGTACACATTGTGGTATGGATGGACATAGCATTAATTATTGCTATGATTTGCATGGTCCAGCTTCAACTTGGGCCAATCATGCCATGACTAGTGATAGTAGCTTCAAACAGGAGAGTCGTTCAGCTGATCAGATGCCTCCTACATCCATAGATGTTCCCAGGAAGGAGATGATGAGTGTTCCCCATGATGAGTATGAGAGGTTTGTCCAGGCCACATCTCAGCAGAACACAACCACTCTTGCACACTCAGGTATGGTTTGTCTGGCATCTACACCCAATCCCTGGATTATTGACTCTGGAGCCTCCAATTACATGACTAGAACTCTAGGTGTATTTTCTTCCCTCTCTCATTGCCCAACATCACAATTTGTTATCCTTGCTAATGGCTCCACATCCTCCATTTGTGATGTTGGTAATGTTAACATGGACTCCTTACCCTTATCCTCAGTTTTGTATGTGCCTAAATTTCCGTTTAACCTTATGTCAATTAGTAAGTTGACCAAGTCTCTTAATTGCTCTATTACTTTTTACCCTTCTTCGTGTGTTTTTCAGGAT